TAATGAATGTACCTATAATTACATTAATGAGATGCTTACATGTTTCCACCACAAAATGACTGCATGTATTTTCTTTGTTGATGTAATCTGTGAAAATTTATGACAAAATCAAAAATCTAACTGTGATTTTTCCAAACACATTATGATAGGGTACGGTGTAAATCCCAAACAAACATCAATACCAACAACTTACTCTTGCCCAAAACACAAGAATTTTATTCTCATATTTAAAGAACTTTAAACTATCCAGTATTTTTTCTGGATAGGTTGGATGACTGACAGCCAGATGGTACAAGATGTGCCATACACAAACCAGAGCTTCACATAAGGCTTTAAACCAACACAACACATTTTAAAACCATTATGAAATTACTAAATAAGATCAAGAAAAAGGCAACATACTTTACACATAGATTCAGAGTTGGGCTGTATTTTTAATGTTGGTTTATAGCCATCCAGATTTTTGCTGTATCTTAACATTAAGGTTACAGAGTTCACAGGTTCCTGCACGTTATTTCCAATTAGCTTTACTCTTTCTGTGACAGTTTAAAACACAAAGCATGGAAACATCACTGTAAATCTTTCTAGCTACTCACCCAGGTGGCATTCCAGGCATAACGGGAGGCATTCCAGGCATCATAGGTGGGACACCTGCCATTAATGGTGGTATACCTTAAAAAAAGGAAAATAAATTTTAAGCACCAACAACGTATATTCATCACCAAACCTATTCAATGCAGGAAACTGTAAAATACTTGTTTTTGAAATAATGCCACTTACAAATAATGAGATATAAAAGGTAATCTACAAATCTGACTTTGATCCACTGCTCCCAAACTCTGCAAGACACCCATTGTAACCTTTCTTAGCAGAATCTCTAAAGAGCATGCCTCAACACTGCAGAAAACATCAGAAAGGGCAGTTTTCACTGCCACTAATTGGAATGCTTTTTGCAAGTTTAGTTGCAATTAAAAAAATAATAAAGTTGTATGTATTCTGCGCATAAACTCTCCATCCTCTGTTAGCACAAACCCAGGGTATCCCTTCAGCCTTCTATTTCTAAAACCTTGTTACGAAGTATCACAAAGTAGATCTATGTTTAAACTGCTGATCTGTCTTAGTATCACACTGACAGTTTTTCTACTCAGATGCAAACATTAGCTATTTTCATCTGCTTTACTGAGGAACATGTGCACCCCCTGCATCAGGGGCAGGAAGAACCTGAAGAACTGTTCACATGCACTTCACTAAACTATTTTCAGAGCACAAATCCACTGCACTGGAGAATACCAATTAGCAGATGATAATTCCAAGTAGAGATCTGTATTCCTACTCAGCCTTTCAATAACTAGTTCAAAAACAGCACCCTTACCAGGAGGCATCCCTGGAGCACCCGGCACAGGAGGCAAACCTGGTTGTGCCATTGGGGGAATGTACCCCTGCTGTGGCTGAACTTGTTGGGGCTGAAATGAAGTGGAAGCTGCAGATTCATCATCTTCATATTCATCAGAATCATCCTGTTGCTTCTTCTTCTGGCTCTCTGCTGAATCATACAATGCACATGGTCAGAAGAAAGTAAACAATTTCTATGAAATTAATTTTTATCTGGAGTATTGTAGCTGGAATGACAATCAAGTCTTATCAGCATGTTCAAAAATTCACATGATTAGAGAAGAGAAACTGTGTGTCTACTATTATATGTACAGAAAATAAAGGGAAGTGACTCACACTACAGCAACTCTCAGTGTAACAGGGGTCTACCTTCACGTAAGCCTCTGGCTGGAGAGAATAAGCCAGAACAACTCAAAGGCATAATTCCAGAACAAAGAAGATTTAAGTATTCCTACCCTGTCAGACCAACGTAATTCCTGGTCAATACAAAACAAACAAACAAAACCCTAAATTCATCATCCCCGTAAGCTGAATGCTTTCTTTCTGAACAGGAAAAAAAAAGAAGCATCATCACTTGTCTTTCTACATGATAGGCCATGTCAAGGGTTGCAGTTAGGGCAATGTAGTCAGTTCTTACTCTCTTAAGGAGGGAGATCTGTATCACACAGGGCCAAAACACCACAAATCAATTTTCAAATCCAAAAACAGACGAGGGAAACTCCCCTACTCCTCAAAAAAGCACTCATCCCAAAACATCAATACAGCTTTCTTCCCAAAGCCTACAAATAACGTCCTGAGAGGCAGGCAAAACACATCAGAACAATAAAAATATCGACCTGTGATTTCAAGACAAAGCAATACTGTGTGCTGAAGACACACTATTCAACGTGGACAGTGCATGCAAAGAATACAGATCAAACAATTTAAGCAAAGCGCCATGGAGATGACAGATAACCAGCTAGATCACACTTTACCCTGAGTTTTTTGTTCAAGTAACCTCCTCCGTTCCTCCATGTCTTTTTCTGGAATGCCCTCCATGCCATAGATTTCCAGTTCAATATCTGTTCTCCCAGGAATAGCATTTGGAACAGCGTCTATTGTTTCTTTATGTACCTAAGAAGGGAAGGAAAAAAACCTCCTGATCAAAACTCAGGTTAGATTTAGGTTTGCCTGCACTAGTTTAATTTCAAAAGACAAACAAAACATCCTTAAAGGGAAGCATATCTCTAGTCAGCCATTTTCTGGATACTCCTCTAGTCGCTGTAACTACTATTAACTTCTAAAACTAGTTTCTAAACTCTGATCACCAAGACAACGCAATTCATCCACTCCTACATTCAAAAACTGACCACACATTTCTCTGCTGCATACCCACCACACAAACTGCTGGCACATCAGGAGACCTGCTCGTGAAGCTTAACACTACTGACTTTCTCTTATCATTTTCCAGGGTTGTGGAAACCCCAAGAGAACACATTTTTTTAAGCTGATTATTCCAATTTTAGACACTGTCAAAAAAGTTTTCTGCAAGACAACAAGGCTTCTTACCTGCATGCAATGTATAGCTAAACCAGGTCCCGTATACAATTTCTTATGACATATATGGCATTTAAAGTGCTTTGCTTTTTGATGCTGTATAAGGATTTTTTCATCATCAAAATCCCTGTTACAATACCTATTGAGGATGTTAAGGAAATATTTTCACGCTGAAAGTGAGCTAATTAGTATTGTTGCTTTTTTCTTCCTAAAGGAAACTGAAAGCACAGAAAGCAACCCTGAGTTTTCAGAGCACCAGTATTTCATCCATATCTGAAACCAAACCTCCCTCCACACATCACCCAGTAACAACAACCAGAGAACAGCAAGATGTGCCCATGCAACCATAATCATAGCATTCTGATAGATGCTTTTTTAAGTCACAGTTTTTTCTAAGTGGATTCCTCTTCCTCCTTTACATATTTTCAAATGTAAATTTTAAATATTATTAAAACGTTGCTAGAGCAGCAAAGGAGAAAGGTGAGAGATCCACAAATGGGAAGCAACACCAAATACTCTGAAACACCCAACTAATAACATATTAGCAGCTAACGTTTATGGAAGAAAAAAAATACAGTTTTAATGGAGAACTCCCTTTTCAGCCACCCAACTGACCAAAACCTTAAGACATCACAAGATTCACTGCAATCATAACAGAACTTTATGTTTCTAAACTGAAACATCTGAAGAACTTTTCGAGCTGTTGCGTAATGAGAGGCAAATGGCCGTTTCTTTTGTGCAGCTCAGCTCGAAGGCTTCAGCAGGCACTGCAGCCATCCTGCTAAGCAGGAGAGCTACACTGGGTACAACCTGCTCCTCGTTAACAGCGTGTCCTTCACTTTCAACAAAGCCTGGTAAACAAATTCCAAGCGGATTATAAATTCCTTTATTAAAGACTAATAAAAAAAACAGGAGAGAAGTATGCTTGCAATCACTCTTCGACAAAAAGCAGATTACAAAAGGGCTAACTCGTGAAAAACCCATTGGTATTTTTACATGCCGAGATGTTTTGACGCAGCAAATACAAGTTTTATATTCTAAAATGAGCTTTCCAACAGCTCTCACTCCTGCAGCCACTCCTGCCTCGCTGATTAGCGCCCAGCACGGCGCTGCTCACAGAGATGCGATGCCCTCGTGGGGAACAACGGCCGCTCCGGGCCCAGCGCAGGGCGAGCGGGCAGGCCGGGCCAGCGGGGGGTGGGGAAGGATTAGATAGGAAGGACACGGAGTAGGCCGGGCCAGGATGAGAGCACAGAGAGGGAGTGAGCACGAAGCCAACGGGAAAAAGAAGAAAAAAAGAAGAAAAAAACCCACAAAATTAACAACAAAAAGATCGGCGCTCACAGGGCAGCGCGGAGCTCCGCAGACACCGGAGGAAAACCCTGCGCCCCTCCCCCACCCCGCCCCACACAGTGCAAGGATACCAGCACCAAGGCTTCAGCTGCTTCTTCTTCTTACGGCCCATAACGACGGAAGACGCGACCTACGCAGAAAAAAAAAAAATTAATAATAAAAATAATTAAAAAAAAAAGACCAGCCGACCTTCTTCCCCGCCGAGCCGCAGCGCCCGCAACTGCCGCCGCGCAGACCGAGGCAGGCACAAAATGGCCGCCACGCACCTCCTGGCACTGCCGCCCCCGAGCTCCCAGAGCGCACCGCGCGGCGGCGGGAAGGGGGGCCGCTCACGTGACCAGCTCCGTCCCGGCATGCCTGTGGGCGGGAGCGGCCATTTTGTGTAAGCCTGAGGGGCGGGCTGCAGGCGGTGCTGTGGGTTGAGCGGTGCGGATTCTGTAACGTCCATCGCGTCTTTCAATAAATCACGTGAGCGGTGGTTGCGGCTGCGCGAGCTGTCTCGCTTTGCTCACTTGCTCCTTCAGTCCTGCACTGGGTACCGCTGCGCGCACCGATAGATCCGGCCCGCCCCCGAGCTGCGGGCTCTGCACCGCCCTCACCCCGCGAGGGGGCGGCGCGCACCGCACAGTCGCGGGAGGCGCTGAGGCGCAGCCTGCCCGGCCCTCGGGGCTGAGAACCGGGTGGGGGCATAGCGGCGCGGCTGGGCGGCGGGGGCGGTGATGCTGGCGGCGCTGCCGGACGGCGATGAGCGGGAGCTGGAAAGCAGCGAGGAGGGCGGCGGCGGTGCGGGAGACGAGCGGCGGCCGGAGCGGCACGGCAGCACCTACCACAGCCTGTACGGCTACTGGAGCCGCAGGTGAGGGGCCTCGTGGGCGGACGTTCCGAGGCCCTGCGCGTTGCCAGCCGCTCGATTCTTCTTTTATTTTCACCTTTCTGTAAAGACTCTTGTTTTTTTTTTTTTCTCCTGTAACGTTCTGATTTCCTGCTCTATATCACCCTTGGGCCGTACCTTTTCCCAGCGCCCGTTCTGCCTGCAAACAAAGGCGTGCTAAGAGCTCCTTGCCTTCAGGTCATCGCGGCGGGGAGCGGATGGCGGCGATGGCGGCGCGGCGCCTGGGAGCCCCCCCGGCCGGGACTTCAGGTACGGCGCTCCGCTCCGCGCCCCGTCCCCTCAGGACGCCGTTGCTGCAGCACAACTGCAGGCTCTGCTGTGGTGGGCAAACTGCTGACTGCACTGATGGGCCTGAAGGCACAGGGAGAAACCACAGTGCTCCTCCTTTCAGAGCGTGACGGCATGCAGGCGTTTCTGCTCTTCTTCAGAAGCAAAACATTTGTTACTTGCTAATGCTTTCATCTTGCTTTTTAAAGCCTCTCTTTGCTGGACACAAACTTACCAGCTGAAGCAGAAACCGAACTGCGTGGTTTTATTGCTAAACGCCTGGCCAAAGGAGCTGTTTTCGAAGGGATGGGGAATGTAGCAACTGTGGATTTGAGGTAAGATACGCTTTTAAAAATTACTTGTGAATGAAAAGGTCTGAGAAACATTGGTAGCATGGCACACCTTGCCATCACCTAGCTTTAAACCTGCTGTGATTGCATGCTCCCGGTCTGTTGCTGCTGTTAATAACAGCTGTAAGTGAACAACACTTTCCACGTTAACTTACAGTAATATCTTTAACAACTTTTTTCTTTTTTGCACAGTATACCAGAATGTAAAGTTGGTTGTTATTACTGTCTTTTCCAACAAGAAAGTCTTCTAGAAACAGCAACGCTGGAATCGGAAATCAGTGCTCCAGAATATGTAGTTTGTTTCCTAGGTGGCTCAGAGAAAGGTCTGGAACTATATCCTTACCTTTATCTTTCCATATCTGTATGGAGAGGGAGATGATGGAAAAACGATACTCTCTTTTTGTCCGTGTTCTCCTTGAAATCAGCGCACTTATGCATATGTTCCACTATGTATGTAACTTAAAATATCAGAAACAAGCATATACTGAAAGCACAAAATGTGGATCTTAATTGATGCATCTTATTTTCCTTAAGAAGATACTTTCAGACTTGAATTGGACAAATACGTTCAAAGTCTGAAGCTAAGCCTTGACTTGGAGGTAAGATCTAACTTTTTACATTTGTTAAGTGGTGAAAATGACATTTTAAACACGCGTGTTACTCAAGCAAACCAGAAGATTTAGTGTATAGAAAACAAACACTCAGAGATGGATACTGGCTTCGCTGTAGAGACAGTAAATGTCTAGAGTACTGTTAACCACAAAAGTCAAGAGGGAAAAAAAGGGGGACTTCTTTGTGCCAGTCATGAATCTCTTAGAGGTTACTTGCAGTTAGCTTCAAAGAGAAAAATGACTAAGAAAATGTAATAATCTGCAGGAAGGGTCTCTGTGTCTACCAAGAGCCCTGCCAGTTCTGAACAGCAAGGAAGGATTTCTACTGGTGGCCCTGTCACCAGTATATTTTATGTTTCTGTTTCATCTTGCATGCTACAGCAGACTCTTTGCTGAGTATGCATCATAATGTGATATAATGTTTTGTATCATATATTACAGTTCTTTCCCTTCATAGCTTACACTTCAAAAAGCATGGCTTTAAATGTCAAACTCATTATTTTGATCTAGCATGGTTTGCAATGAAAAACTACTTGACATCTAAATATTTTAGGTTTCTATTTGTGTAGAAATTAAACCTGTGGCTAAAAGGTTTCATGTTTTAATGTTTTACAGCAGAAAACGTTGGAGACTTGTGTTAACCCCTACTTAAGAAGCTGGTTTGAGAATTCCATATGCCCAATTCAGAGAGTAGTACAGCTCTTCCAGGAGAAACTGGCCTTCTTGTTACACGCTGTATGTGTATTCTTAACTAACTAAATAGAAGAGCTTCAGCAGCTATTTCCACAACTCTAATATGTTTAAAATGCTGCTTACGTTTCCTTTCTCAAACAGGTGTAAATTAGAAACATCTTCTGCAATATTTTTGTTTGTTTATTGTTGCTTGTTTTGGCTTTGGATGGAATAGCTAGTTAAGTATAATCACTGTATTCTGAATGCAAAGCCAGCTGCAATGTCTATAATGTGGAATATTCCCTTGGCTTCTTCTCTTACTCTGAAAAGAGCAAAATTAATATGCTTTGTATTTCTTGCTAGTAAGTACAGTACAGCAATAGAAGTAATATCCTAACTTCTAAACTTTTTTGTTTGTTTTAAGGCACTGAGTTATACTCCTGTGGAAGTAAAAAATGCAGATGAAAGAACAGAAAAAGACATTAGCAGGTAAGGATGTTATGAGACAGAGGAACCTGAGAGTAACTGCTTTTGTGTGTGATACCTTCCTCTTCTCACTCAGGCACTATGTAGAAACAGCAGCTCACAATAGTTTTTGTGTTAGGTTTCTGGCAGCTGCTAGCCTCCAAGGCCTTGTTCAGGAAGGCACAATGACCTCCTTGTGCATTGCCATGACTGAGGAACAGCACAAGTCAATGGTTGTAGACTGTACTGGAGCCCAGCTTCAGCTGCACAATGCAGGTGAGATTACAGTTGTTAACACCCCTGTATTCCTCAGGGCTGCTGAGACTCCTTGGTTTTAGAGGTATTTGAGGATGTTCAGCAGCTCATAGGTTCATGCCCATGTAGTCTGGATTCTGTTTGGAAACTAAAACGCTGCTTTTCCTATCAGGTAGTAATTTGTTTTACCAGTTCTAGTTTGTGGACTCTAAAACTATAATGTATACACTTCTGGGAAGCTGAATTTTTTTTTTCTCCCCAATTGGATTTTTGACAATTGTGAATTCAACAATCAGAGCAGGATTTCATGCAACCACTGTAGCTGTGTTCGCTTTTCCATGTGTATTTTTTTCCTTTAGGCTTAATTCCTGGCTCAGATATTACCAGCTGTATGAAACAAGGTGAATGCAGCTGTGTATCCATATTGAGCTGGTTTACTTTTTGCTCACGCCTTCTCTGTGTTCCTGAACACTTAACAGGAAGCAACAGATTCTGTGAGGACTGGATGCATGCTTTTGTAAATGGTGCTGAAGGTGGAAATCCATTTCTGTTCCGGCAAGTTTTGGAAAACTTTAAATTGAAGGTAATGGTTGGTGTGTGGTAAAGACACATCACTCAATTCTTACGTCAATTCATTTGTCTCTATTCTTCCTTCACTTTTCCACATCATATTTCCTTTCCACGTACAAAGATAAGAAAATGTTCTATAACTGTCATTCCAGGCAATACAGGACATTAACAACCTGAAGAGGTTTATTCGACAGGCTGAAATGAACCACTACGCCTTGTTCAAGTGTTACATGTTCTTAAAGAACTGCGGCAGTGGAGACATCCTTTTGAAGATAGTTAAAGTAGAACATGCAGAAATGCCAGAAGCCAGAAACGTAGTGACTGTCCTTGAGGAATTCATGAAAGAAACAGCAGTGGCTTAAAATTATCTTAATTATCCTACAGTTGTTGGAGAGTATTGTATAAATCATTAATTTCTTCTGCGCAGCTTAGTTTCAGTACTGCAGAAAGTTTTCTTTTAAAAGCATTACCTGAGTCAAACCTAAGTGGCAATTTCAGCTCCTTCTCTCCCTTTAGAGAGAAAGCAGCATGAGCTTTTTTTAATGTGTAAATATCAGATCTTAAACACTACTTTCACTGCTTAACATTCTCCAACTGATGTGTTCATCTTGTGAGAAAATCATTACATTTGTGGGTTTTGTTTTGTTTTGCTTTTTTAAAGCGTTGGCATGACAAAGAGAAGTATTTTAAATATTTTAAGTATATTTAAAATTATCATGTCTAATAATTAAGATCCGTTTACTTGTTTTAGTAGAAAAAGAAGCACAAACATTTAGATAAATGACAGTAAATGAGTTCATCTTTCTTCATGTGAGAGAACATGTCTGTAGCTAGTTTCTACTTCCTACTTTCAAATCAACAGTTTTGTTCTTCTATGATTGAAGAAACAAGTTGTTTACTGACAGGAGATAGAAAGCCTGGGCAGGGTTTTAGGACTCAACTTGTACGTGCTTCAGTCTGTTCATATATGTGCTGGGCAGGCATGTTAAATTCCCAGACTAGATTATGAATCCAATCCATTTGTTTATATTCTTGTGACCAAGATCTTCTTTGTACATTCCTAACATCGCTTTTGTATAATGAAAATAATTGTATGTAGTGAAGAATTAATCGTGAAGATTTTCTAGAGTCAATATTAACTTCATAAAACTTCTTCATAAATTGAAATAAACTGTCCAAAAAAAGAATTGAAAACACTTCCTTGTGTTGGCATAATCCTAGTAAAAATCATACTTTAAATAGAAAAGAAGAAACAAAAAGCCTAATAAATAACACACAAGCAGCTAGTTTAGTTGGATACATGCCTGGAGGGTGTGACACACAACTGTCTCCAGCAATCAACTATGGAAAGCTGAGGAAGAAGCGCACCCATGCTTAGAAGATGCTGAGATGTGCGCTTAGTCTGCAGCCCTTCCGTCCCAGGGAAAAGTTTTAAGCAGTCTGATGTAATTGGTCTTCGTTCCCCTCAGTTCTGAGATCACTGCTGCCGTGGAGCTTCAGCTGTTACGTGGTGGGACAAGATGTGTGTCTGAATGCCACTCAGAAGCCATGTCTGTCCTTGTTTAACTCGTGGAGAAATACAGCAGCGATTCACTTTCTCCTTTATCAGACAGCTTTCGAAACATAAAAATGAACCATCGATGTCATTATTAGAAGATGACATCTCGGCTCTCACAACCGACTGCCCTTTGGTTAAATACTGTAATTGTAGACAAACTTACAAAACTGACTGTGGAAGATTTTCCTTGGATGATTTTTGGCGTGTGATGGAAGACAGCTCTGTTTCATAGGGGGAAAAAAATCCACCAACAAAAATTTAATGGATTCTGCGCTCAAATAATATTGTTACAACAAAAATATACAGAATGTACACAATACAAAAATATTTGAAAACATACCATAGTGTATTACCTTGCAAATATTTTGTTTTACTAGCCCTTAACGGGAAAGTATCATTTGCTCAGTATTTTAAGGCAGAAAATTACATTGTTTAGTGCTTTGTGTTTAACGTTTGGATATGTTGTTAGGTTAGTAGTGTAAGCAAAAGAAAAGCTGAGCAACTAGCTTTATTTGCCAATTAATGAGACACTGAGGGAGTCAGACAGTGACTAACATATCTATTAAGCTCATTAGAAATTAAAGATGTTGCTACTTGAATCAGGCCCGGGGAATATTTTGTGCTCTGTATTGTCAAGTACCCTGAAACATAAATTTTCTGAACTACTACTACTGGCATTTCAGGAATATCTCATTAGAAAACTTTTTCCAATTAAGTGCTGTTGATTAATGATGACATTAAAAGTACATTTACCTTTGAACGGGCTTGGTTTCTGTCTTTAGTGCAGTTCTTTACAGAGCTGCAAAATGCACTGCTTTCCTTTACAACCAGCTCTTGGCATCACTGACCGCAGGAGGAATGTTTTGAGTCACAGTACAGAGCAGTGGGAAGCAGCCCCTGCTATAAAGGAAACAGAACAGCAGTGATATTCGGAGAGGCTACAATCCCAGAGGTGTTTCTGTTCTCTGGATCCTGGTTTGCCTCCAGAGGTTGCTGGTGTTGAACTGCATTCATGTTTTCTAGTTCCACCTCAGGTAAAGCCAGTGGGGTTTCCAAAGTGGAACTTAAACTCTGTGCAGTTACACAGACTCAAGTTTTCTTTACTCACTGATGTGTGAAGACCCTCTGTGATCCTGTAAGCCTAAATGTTGGCACAAAACAGCAGCAGCCACATAAGGCCAGCAGATAGCTGTTATTTTTGTATCAGCTCTAAATGTGCCAGACTCCATCCTTCACACCCGGTTCAAAATGAAGCTATATAATTGACTTAAAAAACAAGGGCAGTGTAATGCAGCAGGAGCAAGGTCTTGGGACACAGAATCCTTAAGCTTTATGTCTAGTCCAGCAGCTGCAGGCAATAAGTTCTCCACCCTCCCCTGTCCCCACTGACAAGATACTTCCTTCTGCTGAAAGAGCAAGCAGTGTAGAAACACAATGTGCCACAGAAGTGCCCAGCTGCCCCACTGACTAATGGGGGGAAAAAAAGAAAGGTGTTGGCTTAGAAACTTAGCAGAAGTGAATTCAGCATTTTTACTCCTCTCTACCTCAGTCAGCGATGGTTCCTGGTAAGCACCGCTCCCACCCATCCTCTCCTTCCTCCTCCTGTTATTACTGATGTGTGCAAAATTAATCTCCACCTGCATCCAAGAATCGAGGAATAACAGGCGCAGTCTGCAAGCCGCGTGGACTTTGCTCTCCCAGGTTGTCTTCCACACCGCCAGAGCTGTCCGAGCTGCTGCTCCCAGCTCGGATGGGCCGAGCCGAGGGCTCAGCGCGGCTCTGCGCTGTGTCGGTGCGGCCGGCAGGTGTCCCCGAAGGAGCTGCAGAGCCGCCCTGCGGTGCTGCCTGACCGGCAATCCCACACGGAACGGCTGCTTGGCCTGCGCTGTGTCCTCACTCAAGGACGCGGGCATGAAATAAACTCCTCCAACATGCGTTATCTCGACTCTGTGCACTGCTAACAGTCCTTGTCTGCCGTTCTGGAGCTGCACATTCACACGAAAGACTTTTTATCTTTTTATCTGACCAATGTAAAATCTTGGCAGCATCTGGACTAAAACCGAAGCGACCACCAAAACCAGTTGTCAGCGGATGGTTCCTTCAGGAACACACTGCCACTGATCAGCTGGAACCACAAGTGAGCAGGATGGAGAATAGCAAAGCTCTGCCATAAGCCAGCAGCATCAAGGACATCTGGAGGTAAAAGCAAAGCCTGTTTGCTGTTAGCTCTCTGGCACTGCAGCGCTGTGGCACTTCTGGGTGCATTAAAAAACATTGTTAACTGGCTTTCCTGATACTCTGTAAAAATATAACAAGTTTTCACAGTATACTTTCAGTGATATAAACATAATTATAAAAAACTTCAGCACTTCACAATGCTCCTGACTCCATAAGCTGATATTCTTAATAGAGAACAGGCTATGCATACGATCTGCTCTATACATGGGGAGATATTTCAGCTCTGCTGAGCAGGAATGAAAGAAGCTTTCATTTCTTCACCCACAAAAATCCAGTACTGCTAGAGTCTGACCTCTCTGATCCCCAGGGCTGCTTCAGATTTGCTCAGACAGCAGATGGGAACACAGGAATGGAAGCTGGAAAGATGAACAACTCACAAGTTCAGTGAGAGGTTTTTCGGAAAAAATTACTTTGTGTTCACTATGTTCATTTATGGATGAAGGACCAAGGAAGGGCACCTAGACTGCTCTGTGCAGCTCCTATCTGGCAATTCCCATTTCCTGCTCACCTCTGGTTTAAAGGCATCTGTATTCAGAAAGGCTTAACAATTGGTGAAGAAAGAATGGCATTAGCCATGCTTTTCTCTGCATTCTAGTTCCCCCCTCCTGCTTGTCTATGGCTCTCCAGGGAGACAATCTCCATCAGCATGGAACTCGCTGACCAGCTCCTGACCTGAAGCAATGCACATAAAGTTTTGTGACCGCTCTGACCTGGACCCAATCTGCTGAGATTAAATAGCACAGGGAATGAGCCCATTTCTTCAGACAGAATAGAGCTCTGACCCTTGTCCCTCGATCTGAGGGCCACAAACATGCCAGTCATGCAGAAAGGTGCCCTCTGAGATTCCATTTCTGTGCAGAAACAGCAAAACTTGGTTCTTTTGCACATAACGCTTATTCCCAGCTGTAGAGACACTTTTCCTTCTCCCCCTTCTCTTTCCCTGAGGCAACAGGATTTTTACTAGCAGATACCACAGGAGCAGAACTTCTACCTTCTGGAGAGATTTCTCCTATAAAGGCAAATAAGGGAACTACAGTTGATGATTTCTTGGGAACGTCCCCTCTAGAAACACAGGCTCCCACCAGTTTGTGGTTTCACCTGGCAGTACCAATTACACAACTGAGAGAATAAAGCCTACGATACAAAAACACTTAGCCACAGAGAAAAGCCAGCTGCTGCTCTGCCCACAAGATGTGCCATGGAAAGCTGGCAGTGGCTGGGCACCAACCTGCAAAGAAAAAGGAAAAAAGGAGCTCGTCTACAAAGGCTCCCATTTCTGCTTTATACAAGGTACCAAACCAGGTGGGCAAAGGGGAGAGAAAAGAAAGGCATCCAAGTTCCTCAACTGTAGTTTGGCAGCTCTCCAAAGTGAGAAGCAAAACTGAATATGCACCTTACACAGACACACACTCTGCAGACATTGCAGTCTGGTCCCCCAGGTTCACTCAGGCAGCACGCGTCGTGTGGCTGTATGGACTGTGTTTCAAACCAGATTACTAAAATCTGGGTTTGACCTATGCTAAGCAAAAAGGCATCAGTGCAACTGACTGTTGCTTTCTCTGAACTTCCATTGCCTCAGAAAGACTTGCCATCCTCAGATTTTAGCAGCCATTTGAAAACCAGTTTTATGAACTTCACAACATTCACTATAACACTTCTTTCCACTTCAGGAGGAAGCCAGACACACACCCTGATTTAACCCCACTACCTTCAGTGGACAAAGTTGGCTTCAAACAGACTGGATGTCTCTAAAGCTGGAGCCTGTTGGAAGAGTTGAGATCCCTGCTTAGATATCACTGCAGGCCAGGCATTAAATCAATACAGCCCCAAATAAAGTGAGAAGAAAACCCCATTGTCAACTGACAAAATCAAAACTGAACACTTGCCTTCCTCTCCTCCATCTCTCAAAAAGAAACCCCAGCCACAAGCTGTAGCCACAACAGGCTGGGAAAAAAAGTATAAATCAAGTAAATCATGCATGGTAAATTCACCTCTAGCCCAGTATCCACATCACTCTAAAGAGTTTCCAAGGTTTATAGTGCAAATTCATTTGACCTGTAGTTGAAAGACCAGTCTCCATCACTTTGGGTGACAAAGTTCTGCTGATCCCTTTCAAAGGTGCATAAAACAAGTTCCACCAAAGGCTTAAAATTTTAAGGAACCATTCAAGTAATTAGACAGTGGCACTGGTATGGCTGAACAGTCAAATGTATCTGTAGAAACCAAACCCAGTCTGCCTTGGGAGTGTCATGCAGGTCTCTAGTTAGTAACTGACTGCTCTTTTTCCATCTTGTGTTTAGTAATATTGAGGAGATTCATTCAACAATTGGCTGTAATTCCAGCACTGACCAGGAAAATGCAAATATCCCATACAGAATATTGATGTGTGCTAACAAACCATGTGATAAATGTCCAAGTTCAAGGTGCCCAATGGAAGCCCTAGCAGTGAAGAAACTGCAGGGCCCAGGCCAGCCAGCATTACAGTACCTGCTAGATTTAATAACAAACTGATCAGTCCATTCACTTGTGAGATCTTTAAGCATCTTCTTCCACACACGGTTGTGTTCAAAATAATCATCCTCCCCTAAGTTAAATATAAAAATAGAACCTCCATCTTCTCTCGTATAATGCAGCTGGCAGACCGCTTCTGCTCTCCAGAGTCTCCTGTCCTGTGCATTCAAGGAGGGGGAGGTAGCTTCAAATCCAACAGGCTGTAGGCAAAAATGTTCCAGAAGATGGCAAACAACACAAAGATTAGATAAATAGAAAGGAAGATCCACCATAAAGTCTGATCTTGAAGTCTCTGCTCATAGTTCCTCAAGATAATGACACCGAGGGTGATCCCAACCATCACCCCTCCCAGGTGAGCCATGAAGCTGGGATGTGGGCATGGAGGGTAGGCGGAGGGGTGGAATCTCAGCCACACAGCTCTTCCAAATTCAAAGCTCACTGGAACAACAAGGACAAAATAAATTAATAGTTTAAGTCTATCCCTTCTCAACTCCACCTTGCAAGGCAGCACCACATCTTCTGAAGAGGCAAAAAGAGTGAAAAAAAAACTGCCTTGTATAGAGAGCACAGGGAGGCTGGGAAGCCATGGTTATGTAAGGCACACAGAGATGAGATCTCCCCTGCGGTCTGGGCTTGTCAGAGTGTAGACAGGCAAAGGAACATTTCTCTTTCAAAGTTTATATCAAAAATAAGGAAAAAAAAATCAGAATTTGAAGACAATTTTCTGTTGATAATACACAATCCGGTTTCTCTCATCAGGGCACCCTGGGGATGTGTCTGGAAGATAATTCAATGATGTATGTACAATGGTGTTGTACATACAGCAAGTGCTCCAGGAAGCCTAAACATGAGCATTATGAAAGTACTGTTTGTTTGTGAATTCAGAGAGGAGATGCTTAAATCCCAGATCTTCACAATTCCATATGCTACAGATGCTGGTTAACAACAAATCCTCATTTAAAAATGCTTATGCTGAAAACCAAAATCAGCATTTGAGAGTGATGTGACTTCTGCATGCGGAAGTTCCAGCTGCAAGTTCCTACCAAAACTGCTGCAAAGTCAGAACTCCCTGTGTCAGCACAAACCCTTAGGACAAAGACAAATGAGACAGGATTGCTTGTTCACCAGGTATTGCACGATACTTACTACAGATCAAGGCAACAGCCATGCGTAGCAGTTTGAATTGGCACTTCATTCCAGACCAATTCTGGAAAAGAGACAAAGAAAACAAAGTGATGCTGCATGGATATCTGGATTTTACATTCAAATCTGTACTGGAAGAGCATCTTCTAGGCTTGATAAAAGTACCACAACACATGCACGTGTTTTCCAGAGCACATACATCAAACCCTCTGTCATTGCCGCATCCAGCTCACATTATCATCTCACACAGATCCCACTGGGAGCTAAATTACCATTATTCTTATGGTTGTTCTGCTCTGACACTGCTAGCAAAGGACAGATGCGTGTTCCTGTACCACCACACAGCAATCTGAACCATGTGAAAAAAAGCATTCTCAGCAAAACCATTGCTGTCCAGTGGTAAGCTCAGGGCTTGCACAGGCAGACATGTTGGCTTTGCCACAGCCCTTGTAAGGACCCTGGATGAGCTGCTGTTTCTAGATCTTCCAGAAATTACAGTGCTGATATTCACTGACCTTTATGAAGTACTTCATGAGGTGAAACAGCTAAAAGACAGCAACGCTGTTATGATCAGAATTCAGTGTCAGTTTGAGTTTTATGAAAGGGAATAAGGGATATTCTACAAAGAATCCAACAAATAAAAAATTTCTTTAGGTACTTCCTAACATGATATGACACACTGCAGACAGAAACAGCTCCGCAACTATTGAGCAAGAATGCTCCCTGAATGACCAACAGCTCGGTCAGGCCCTCTTCCCAATCCCAGAGGTGCTCACCTTCAAAGAGGTTGGAAAGGCATTCTGCTACTCACCATGACTATATTGGCCAAGTGAGCCGAGACAAGGGCATACACGCCTCCAGAGGAGCCAACCACAGGTGCTGTCATATCAGCCACTGACACTGCCAGCGACCCTGGGAATTAGAACAAGGCTTTGTCAGAATTATCAGCCAAATAAAATCACTTTTCTACAATAACCACTATTTCTGCATCATCTGCTACAGGTCAGCAATACAGAGATAAATAAAAGGAAGGGGGAAAGGAGAAATCAATCCAATTCTTTTGTACCTACTTAAAAAGACTACGAGCCAGCACGAGGGAGCAATGCATCTTTGAAGCTATGCTGCAAAAAGTATATATATATATAGTATATACACTCTGCTTAAAAAAAACAAACAAACAAGGAAGATGGACAAGTGTCTTCATCCTGTTCATCACCAAAGGATAAAATAGAAGTTGCTCTTGCGCTGACAAGATAAATATTTGCAAACTTTAAAAGACTGGGGACTGATCACTTAAACCCAGGACTTTGATCAATGCTCAGCCTGTTACTTATAAAACTGCAGAGTAAAGCTTCCTAAAAATATCCTGAATGAAAGCAGTCACCATGAGATGGCAAAATGTCAGTTCAATCACATAAAGGTACTGCTAATAGAAATACTTTCAAACATAGACACTGCTTCTCTTTATCCCAATTAGAGGCCTGGATCTCCTCAAAGCTCCGATATAGCAAACTTTAGAGGTAACTGAAAAGATAAAGGGAGACAAAGGCAGACTTTGTGCACAAAGCAGGGATAATGAAGACGTTTGTGATGAGCAGAAATGGGGAAAAATCACAATGACTACTCTGGAGAGAGTCATCAGTAGTACAGAATCTTCCAATAGGCTTCTTGGCTAATTGTTTAGGTGATTATGGTCAAAAAAGAGCTGAGGTTCCACCAGCATATAGCTCCCTTCTTCACCATTGGGACCTGAAACTTCTCAGCTCTTAAGCAATGCCATTAAGGGACACGTTAATCAGAAGTTAAGAAAGGAGTAATCAGAATCCGTGCGCTCATTGCAGGACCCAAGCACTTAACTGCATCTCTCCATCTACACTTCCACATATCCTTTTGTCAAAGGGAAAAACAAATGAGAAAAACACAAAAGTAGGGAGTGGCTACTGCAGCATGTATCCACATTTTACTATTTATTCCTGATTGTTTAGGAGCTGCATTATCTTTATATTGCCATATCCTCAGGCTCCTTCCTCCATCTCCTGACATACGTCAAAGAACAAAGCACATTTAATAACTGGCTAACAACAGAAAGAGACAGAGGTATTATGCTTATGTAATGCTTCTTTGGGGTTGTCCAACCACATTCATAGTTCCAACCTGCACTGAGAATTTTCCCTGCCATCAACTTGCAGCGCTCACCTGGGCTCAATCATAGCAGGTTCAGTGCTTGTTTGCTTTGCTTACCTGGCACAGATATACAGTGTGTATGTACAAATTAAGCCCCATGACTTTGCAGACTGATCTATGTAGAAAACTTTGTGCCTGGAAAGTTGCAGACTGGGAACCACTTTAATGCTTATTAAAATAATAGGAAAGAAACTCCAGAGCTGGTCTGCTCACTTCTCTCTCTGCATTAATGAGATGCTGCTTGTACCATGCCTTGTCCTGTGCCCTAATCCAATTATTCTTTTTCACAGCCTCTTCCAGGAATGCAGTCTATCTTACAATGCTTTTATCTGCTCATTATTGAAAAAAACCAAATTATGGTGATTTTTTTCCCAGTTACATAGATCTTGAACTGTGGCAGTCAATTCTTTGTTCCAGGTTCCACTGTGAAACCCTCTGTTGTTCTCACACTCTCCTCCTGTTTTAATTAGATGTTGATCTATTGTCAGCTAACTTTCATCACCTCCAAAGTGCTGGAAATGCCAAACATAAATAAAAGAAGTACAGCACAAACTAAACATCAATCAAAACCTATGGCTTCACGATCAAATTAATTTCCAGATTCCTTTGCACTGATCACAACATACAACCAAATACTTCTTTCTTAGGCTGTAGAAACCAGACAGTGCAGGACAAATGGAAGAGCTGGCGCAGGACCTGGGGGCAGGGTGGGGTGGGACAAAGGTTCTTCATGCAGGAGGACGATGGAAGCCTGTGATGCCACATTTCTGCTAGCCTTCTACAGGTTGCAAGGAATGTACAGTGGGGCCACAAGTGTCCTAAACACAGATCAGACTGCTCTTCTCCTCTACACAAATGTCACAAAACATTTCTTCTTTGCAAAAGTCATCCCAGACTACTTTCAGATGCCTCTCTGTCTAGGGCATGCAGAGGTGTAACCTACCTGCCACAACTCCAGCAACGTACACAAAGCTGATCCTCGCAGCTCCATGCACCATTTCCAGGGGAACCCCAACCAAGAGCTGAAGGACAACATTGAGACCAAGGTGTTCTATCCTGCAGTGAGGAAAAACAACAGTTGCACTCTTTTCTAACTCTGTCTCCCTTCTCCCTTGTGACAGAGATATCTCAGAATGAGATCAGATAGCATCTGTTCCATGAAGGGAGATTGTAACACCAGGACTGACTGTTTACGAAGCAGGTAGATTTAAATGACACCACGGCACATCCTCAACACACAATACTAGCACCTTCTGTGGGAAAAAGCACAAAGTAGCTAATGCACTGTGAGTTTATGTCATATTTCATACAAGAAACGGATTGCTTGCAGCCAGACCCAGCAATACTTGGTTCAAGTTCTATGAATTTTCACTGTTTTGGACTTTCTTCGTGTTACCATAGCAATTTCCCATACACATCAGAAAAAAATGCTGATGATAAAATGCACTAATGATAGAACTGTCTCATGAAGGAGAATTTGAAGTTGGACCAGAAAAAGCTGCTAGAAATGACACTGCAGAAAAATGACCTTTCCAGATATCTTAATGAGTTTGTTATCACTTAATTTTTCTCTAAGAGTAAATTTCTCTCTGTGCACGGGATGCTCAGCACCATAATTCACCATCACTGGGAATTATGGAAAGTAACCAAGTATGTTGATCATCTTGCTCTTGAAGCCATTGGGCATGGGTGCATTCTGGCACTCGTTCCAATCCTGGTTGTTCACAGAACTTGGGAATTAAATTAGGAACAATGAGCAAAGGTCAAACAGAGATCACAGAAAGGAGTCAAAGCACCCAAATGCCCTTTTACACGGGGAGGAAAGAAGCTTCAGCTGGCAGCCAGTGTCACGAGGCGGTGCCTGACATTTTCTCACAAAGCACTGGCTCTTATTTTTCAAAGGCAGCTTTTGTATGGGCTCAGCAAAGTTTATCCCCAACCCGAAAGTGACTGCCCCGAATCACAGCTGTTCTTAAAAGACTGTGCAGGAGCGATCCTATTCACTCTTCCTCCTCATCACGCTAATAGCATTGAAGGCTCCATAGTCAATAAGCACCCATAAAATATAATTAGCCTTTGCTGGTGCTGAATGCGTCATTCTTGAAATGACAATTTCCCTGATTTATTAAAGACTTTCTCCTTCCCTGGGACCAAACAAACGGGACTGGGAATCAATGCAAGTCATTAGTTATGGCAGTGTTACAAATGTGTGGGCCTCAGATAATCAACGTCAGCTTTCCATGAAAGCAAAGGGCAGAATTTACAACTTTGCCTGGCTTTTCAGCTCTCGACAAAGCTCCCTGCACCAGGACCATCACAAAGTCCATGCATTTTTGGGATCTTTCTAGAGAAACAGCCAGCCAAGCCTTAGCAACTGCCGCCTTTTTGGACACCTTCTGACTTCAGTGCACAGACCAAGTGCACTAAATTAAGCAACAGTCCATATTACCATCTTAAAGTCTCAGCTGGAAACAAGACAACAATAAACCCCATGACATTGTCTTAACCTCTCCTTTGAAAAACAAGAGAGTGATGGACTTCCACTACAAGCATTATTATCTTTCTAAGATTTATCCCCCCTCTTGATACGAAAGGAGATTTACACGTTATGTGTTAGCCATAAACGAGCAGTTAGCCTAACTCCAGATACTGCAAATAAGTCACGGGGTTTATTATTCCAGCAGGACTCATCCTTGTTTTGAAGGCTGCAACAGCTGGAGAATTTGGAATCCATCACAGAAGCAATGAGACTTTTGCACAACAATTTCACCACTGCTCGTGGCAAAGCCAGCCACAGGTGTGAAGTAAAGCTAATGTATTTTTCAGACAGTAAGTGTGGAGAATGCCAGGGCACTGCCTGCTATAGGTTAGGGCAACTTTGCACAGATAGGAAAGAATGCCACAGGGGACACAGGGAGATATTTAAGTGCTGCAAAATTATAATTGTGCAGGTGCTTCTCTTAAACGAATTCCTGAGCAATCTGTGGTTACAGAAGTGAAACAGTAGGACTACAGCAGAAACAGAATGAAAATCAGATACAAATTAGTTTGCGTGAGTTAAAATCGTGTTCCTTCTTTTCTACAAACCCACTTTTCCTCACCTTTCTAATTCTCATTTTACATAACCAGCCTCACATTTAAGCACAACAGTCTGCACTTGTAGACTGATGCCTCTGTAATCAAATTTACCGGAGGAATGTAGAATGCAGAGTACAGATGTCACCACATTTAGAAGTTTCCTCTATAATTTTTGTTCTACTCTCCTTGGGTCAAGTCTGCCCTACTCCAACCATAATTTTTATTCAGAAATCTGGGGCACATCTTGTGCTTATGGGCAGTTACGCACAGGTTGGAATTCCATGGCAGAGAAGGGACATCAGCTTCCTGGTGGAAAAAGGAAAAGGTCTGCTTGATCTTTTTGGCCTTTTAAAGGAGACCATTGATTGATGGGAATATAAGCTTTCTATTTAAGAACAAAGGATCTTCATTCAGTTTCAAATTATAAACCATTGCTAAAAAACTTGTTGCTCTGATTCTTCAATGACAAAATTAAAGAAAATTGCAATTATCTGCCAGGAATGTGTAAGGATAACGATCTGAGAAAGCACGTTGAGGGGGTAGAGTGTTTTGTACAGAGGTGAACTTTTCTGTGACATTCACTCGTCACCATGGCATCACAAACGTCACATAATTAAGTCTCTGAATCCTGAGAGGACCAGCACAGTCCACAAGCACAGAATTAGAATCCCCATGCCTTGTGTTCTCTTCATTCTGCTACATACCTCCCATGGGATCAAGGACAATATATTTTATTTTATTGCACCTTCATTTTACATTAGATGGACTATTCTCTGTCCATCTGTCCAGATGAGACTGTCAGCTCTTAAGGAACTTAAGGAACACTGCTGTTAGTACAGTTTGTACAAAATGGGAGTCCAGCTTTGTCTCAGATTTCTAGGCATTATCCCAGCCCCTACAGAAGAGACAGCATTACTAAGCGATGACACTGAGTAGGCATGGGAAATTTCATCCACTTCTCCAACCTTAACTAGAAAGTCTACCAAAAACACAATATCTAGTTCTTAAATATCAGTCTAGCATCTTTTCAGACTCAATACATCACTTGCACATCTCCTCTAGACAGACAATGGGCTTCAGCTTTAGGTCAGTTTTAGAAAGCACAGGAAAGTGCATACTAAGAGGTTGGTGTGATCCCAAAAGTGCAGGGACAGGAGCAGCATCTATTAAGTTCCTTACATTGTTTCCTCCCTTTAGACAGCTGTGAAGGTTTGCCTCTCATTGCCCAACACTCCACAACAGCTTCAGATTTTAATACATAATTTAGGGTTGGTTTTGTTTGTGTGTTCTCCGTTTTTTTCCCAATTGATTTCTGAGTTGATTCAGTCCCTTTTCTCCTCCCACTCTCTGAGGAACCTGAACTGCCTCTGGAAAATCTCTGCAGTTTGTAAGTACTCACCCTGCGTGCATGAATATGTAGGTTAGGTACCTCCAAGCCTGAGCACGGAGTTGAGGATGGTAAAGTAATGCATTTTTCAGGTATAAGGGATGGGTGACTTGCAGCACAAATCTGTCTAGCACCACTCCATTGTAAAGAAAAAAGGCAACCTAGAAGAGCAGGAAGATTCCTTGGTTAGCAAATGCCTTCTCTCAGTGAAAAGCACTTTGCAAACTCAAAATCATGAAAGGATGTCAACTGAAAAACAAATTTTTCTACCACCTGACAGCTATGCAGCATGTATGCTCCCTGTTCTGAGAAACCTGCAACACATCAGCCTAACTCCGTATGTGGCTTTCCATTACGGATCAGTCACCAAGTTAGAGGAGCTCAGCACCCTTAGAGTGCCATAGGATATCCTTCTCTATTTATTCCAAAGCACCACTTAACTACTGCACAAAGCTCTTCTGTGAGCAAGAAATGAGCAGGTCAGAATTTTTAGTCCAGTTCTGCTCCCTCCAATTTCTCCCCATTCAAAGAGCAGAGGTAACCATACAAGAGTTTATTTCTAATTCTATTATTTGAGCTACCCCTTAAACTGTCCAGATATTCACTTCTCAAAAAATTTAGCTTTACTTTCCCAAATTCTGTAGTTTCATATACAAGTTGCTTCAATGACTAATAACCACACATGAAGACAGACAGGAACACAGCCTCCATTTACATAATCTACATATACACGTAGGTAAGTCAAAAGAGCCATTTCAGCCTCATGCTCATCCTTGTCTGGATCCAGACCAGCCCCACAATGGCCTTTGTTCAGCCCACATCAAAACCTCGGCAGTGTGAGGTGCATTCCTCAAATCAGGGCATTAAATAAGGTACTTGCCTCTACGATGGTGATGGTAATCATGAACCAGGGTGGAGGGCAGCAGGTATAGCTGTCGTAGTACCACTTGCGGTCTATCTCTCGCGGCAGGGTCTCATATGCGACGTGTCGGATCAGCCTCTGTGACAGGCTCAGCCCTGTTTCCTCCAGCAGCGCCTTGCTGCACAGCCTCCTGTTGCCCTGAAGGATGGCTTGGCGGAAACTATTCGACCTTTTGTTGCTCATCTGTGTAAAAAGAAAAACAGGAAACCATGAGGACGAAGGAAGGCCTGGCTCAACCTTCAGGGAGTTTAGTACCAATCTGGCAGCACCAGACCCATGCGGTCAGGAGAACCGCCATCGGGCTCGAGCTGTAGGAACCAAGCCTCAGTCTGATCACAAAGTGACCTACGCAGGGTGCAAGAACAAACAGTTGCAGGACTCACTATTTTGGGACCAGTAAATGAGGTCAGAGTAGAACACTGGCAAAGCAGAGCAGAGGCTGCTGATGTACCCAGCTGAACTCTCCAGCCCATTCACCAGCCTCCTTCCCTTGGCTTCCCCTGATGCACTGAACTTCCCTGTACCTTCCATCAACAGGGGCAGGAAATTTCTTGAATGCAGCAGTAGGTACATTCACAGCATCTAACCTGTATGTTCTGATCCTCGTTGGCAAAGTTTAGCTCTGCTCAAGGAAAATTATCCCCTTAAAACCAAAACAACTGCAATGAGCAGTACCAACAGAACACACACTGAAGTGTTGAGCAGGCTGTTTTAGCTGCTCGTAAACTTGCAAGAAGAAAGGATCCATTTTCTGGTAAGTTATACTCAGAACAGGCAGATTTTGAGAAGGTGCAGACTTCAGAGGATATGGCCAATTTGTTTTGCATTATCACGAGAAGTGCACAGAATTAACGATCTTTTGAGTATACACTTTCCCAGTTTGGATGCATAATTAAAGCAATTGAGTTTGCAAATGAGGCAGATGGAATTTTATGCTAGCCTGCCTGGGAGGAAAAAAAAAAAATCTGGTCTGAAAGTGCTTGCTCCAAAATTCGCTTAATTGCTAATTAGCCCTGATGTCAAACAAACCTACTGCACCACAATCACTGTCTGGACTGGCTGAACATTTGGTAGAGAAGGCTTAACAAGATAAAACCACTAACTATGCTTCCTGTATTACTGCTAATGTTGCTCAAAGAACTCCAACACTAGTCAGAGCAGTGAGAGTTCATCTGGGTGATGTTCCTGAAGGCATTCCTCAAGGTAATAACCATGCAGAAGGGAAAGGCCTTGTTACTTTTGACAAGAGAAGGATATTGCAGGATCACTGTGGATCTCACACAAATGAAGCCTGGCTCCTCAGAGGAGGTGAGCAGCTGGACCTCACATTGCTAAGTGACCTGTCCAAGGCCACAGATTAGAGTCAGTGGAAGAATCCAGGTTGCAAGATTTCTGTGTTTACTAGGCTGCACTGACTTCAAGCCCTTCTGTTCAGTAGTTCTACCTTTCTCTTCTAAGGCAGGGAAATAAAGCACAGGACTGTCTAATGATAAAATGGAAGCTTACGACAATGATTTCCTCCACGGAATGATGAAAGACAGCTGTAGCTTTGTTCTTTCAACTACCTGTTCTCACACTCAATCATTTTTACAAGGTGTTCCATCTTGGTTGTTTCTGGTCACATCTGGATGATAAAACACTAAGAGTTATTTTAACTGGTAACGATGAGAGAGCAGTAAACGTTGATGTTACAAGAGAAAGGGAAATCCTTGGGCAACATGCTGGCAGCTCTGTGGGGAACAAATGTGATTGCTGAAGAAAGACCTTGCATGCCTCAAACACAAACAAGGTTACTTCTGCGCACCATAAGGCATTGTCCAATTGGTATCCTGTCCAAACAACAGAACAGATGCATCGCATCAACTACACTCATGGCTAATTTAGACATGAGGCAATAGGATCAGAGCGTTTAGAGATAGAGAAGACATTTGAAACCAACTTCTTAGGTGGCTAAACAGGGGGTGTGCTGGGAATTCATCAGCTCTTAGCAAACAGGCAGTGACAAAACTGCCCGCAAATGAAATGGAGAAAGTCTTGAGTCGCTGCAGTCTCTTGCAAAGCATGTGAAAAAATCCAGCACCAAGTGTGTTCTTCCCAGATTACAACTCACACCATGATCCTCAGAGGGAACACGACTGGCAATGAGTAAGAAAGAGATTCCCTGTGTCTACCAACAGCAGGTGCTGTGTCAGTAGGAGCCAGGTTTCAATTTACCTAGAAAATCAAAAGCCTTTGGTAATTACAACTAACTCTTCAGAGCCCTTAAGAGATCTAGCTAAACATCCTGCCACCTCAGGTAGAAACACACACAAAAAAAATTGTCAGATCTCCTTCTGAGCAAAGGCTATGGGAAGAAGGCCAGGTTCTCTACAAAGCTTCATAGCCTTGGCATGGTTTTACACCCAAATTAGGCAGGGACACAGAGTATCAGAAACACATGCTCAAAAGCACCCACAATCCTTAAGATACGAGTGACTGGATGTACTCCCCTTGTTAAAATTAGGCTCACAGTAAAAGCACATCCTGCCAGCCCCCACCTGCACCCACTGACCACCGTGCCAACAGGGAAAGGAGCTCCAAGAGGCAGCACAGCTGAGTGCTGGACCTCAAGCAAACACAACAGCCCTGGCCCTACTCGTGTAACTCCATAGGCCTTAGGATCATGCTTTTATTCTCAAGCTAGGTGATGAGAAACCAAGGCATAAGGAAAAGACAGAGGATTCTCTCACTACCACTACTCTCACCAACTCTTAATAAGGAGCCTATTTTGTTCCACAGACTGACTTTAAAATATCCAAATCTTCCCAAAGTCTCCCATATGGTCACAATTTGCTGACTTAATTTTGGCTCATAAATACCAATATTATGTAATTCCAAGTATTTAATCATCAGCTGTAAGAACACTAGCCCATTGTTGGTCTGCATGTTATTACAAGCCCAGAAGCTCAGGGCAGCCCACCCCACTTCTCTTCATACAATTGATGTGGGACTTCTTTAATGAGCATGATATTAAAGTTGCAGGCAGATGGGTAGAGAAAATAGTATGTCGGGAATTAGGAGAAAGGAAACAGCACATTCCCTTTGTCTTTCATGCCTGCAAATAGTTATTATGCAAAGAGACATTTCTCTTGCAAAACAGCCAGTTTGACATGACCTGTAACCATGCTCTGCCATCTCTGCCCTTGCTATTAACATACCAAAACAAAAGAAGGCTTAGCTCTGCTCAAAGGGTGTCTTTGATGCGCTGATAGGAAGGATAATTTTTTGCCCACTTAGACATGAATCTGTTTTCCATATTTAAACTGTTAAAATTTAGGATGAGTCCCTAGAGCCTAGTGTGGGACAGCGGAAACTTATAGGAGCACAAAGTCTTGCTTCTGTTCAGGATATATCAGTCTAGAATCAATCTCAAATAATCTATAACTTGTAACACAATCTGGTTATTCCCACTGGCAGATCAATTTCTCTGGGTTTCTTGGCTATCTGTACCACTGTTGCTGCTGCAGCACAAGAGTATGATAATTAATAACCAAATCATACAGTATTTCCCCACCCCAGTTGCACAGTTTGTGTGGGGCACCGTACCCTCTTTACGGGTTTTATTCAGCCCTATTCATGAGGCTTAGAGAACCATGGACTTCTGCCCACCAGGTATTGGCATCTTTGAGGTTGGTCTACAGCTATTTTTAAACACATCCAAGACCATGACAAGGCAAGGCATTCAGCACTCCAGCTCTGCTCCTCCAAGAGGCAGAAAACTAAAATCAGAAGTGAGCACATGCTTTTTAAAAGCCTCTGTCAGCTCCAGTTTTATAACCCACTTTACTCACAAATGCAGCTTTTCCAATCAATTCTGCTTTCAAGATTCACATTTATTTCCTTCCCCCACTACTCACTTCTCTGAAATGCTAATGTGGTTAAAGACTGCTTTGCCCAAAACACATAGCTCAGCGTTAAGTTTATCTGTCACAGATGTTCATATCCTCTGCATCAACCTGGTAGCACTCTCCTTTCCCAAAAAGTATCAAATGGAAACTAGAGGAAACAACATCCTGATTTTCTCTGACCAAGCAGTGGTTTCCTCTGGGAATTCATGGAAAGTCAGAGGCAGGGGAAGCCAAATAAGTTATTGTTGTTCCTGCAGGAGTATTCCCTGCTCAACGTTTTGCTCATCCCAGGCTTCCAGCTCTTCCATTAGAAAAGATAAGCTGTGTTTGTATTTCAAGTTAAGCACAGGAGCACTTGCAGAAGACTAACTTACTGTTTCAAATCAGTTGTGTTCTGTCAAAACGCAGCAAACTTTGAAACCTCAAAACCCTGACACACGTTCCATTTTTTTCATTGGTCCTAGAAGGAATTCTGCATCTGAAGTGAAATCCAGATTTTATTTTCTGAAGCATTTTTATTTTAAAATGCCTTTATAATATTTCCCATTCACTTCTGTTCGTTAGATAGATACACAATTAAAATGACCATTTAAGTTGACATCGTGTTTCTCAAGTTTCAAATGCACTTGATTGGAAACAGATGAGGAATCATGGCTAAGGATAGAAATTTCTGTGCTAAGTTTCACTTCAGTTGGCATAGCAATTATTTGCCATACGAGTTCACTTGGAAGAAAGCTCTTTCTTCTGCTGCTACATGCAGGCAGTACCTAATGGACTCAGATCAATGCATAAGGAGAACAGATTCCAAAAGCAGCTCTTCCATGCCAGTTATTCAGTTTCAAGATACTCACCTGACCATCTGATACCTTTTTCCCCTCAGGAGATGCACGTGGCCCCTGGAGTGCTACAAATGACACAACCCTCACTTTCCTCCAAAATGGGAAGGAAAATACCACAAAGGTAGTGTGAGGTACATTTGTGAGGAGGGTATCTGGTTCCTGGATGTGCTCCATGGAGTAAGAACTTTGCACCCCAGTAAGGGCTTTGACACACAGGGAGGTAAGGGATGGACAGGGACACGATCAGATGACCATTACTTTGCAGAACCATCTGTCTATTAAGAAAACATGCTTCTTACTCGGCATAGCATAATATTAGATCAAATAGAGAAGTAAGAGATTTTAAAACCCTTTTAAAATTAAATGTTTATTACATCTCTGAAGTAAGGCCAAGATAAGAACTCAAGAATCCTATAGTTTCAGTCAGGACAGTGTGAATTAAGGCAGAGAAATCACTTAAATGGGTGCCCCACTGGACACTGAAGGAAAAACTGATGTCAGTGATGGGAGTCATCTTGATGTTTGTCACAGTATTTGCTTCAATTGTGCAGCTAATGGGAAGCACAAAGAAGCTGAGAAGGAGACACAAAATCTGCACAAAACCTGTTTTCCTGTAACAGGACTTTTCAGGTTAGCAACAGTGTTTAGTGTTTATAATTATATTCTCATCAGACAAGGCCACTAGAATTGAAGGCTGGGATTATTTTGCAACAGAGAGCTTAAAAACTCACTAGAAAGTGAATAAGAACTTAGCAGGAATAGGAGATATTCATTCAGGCAGACTTTTGTCTTACTGAAGATTCCCCTGAGAATCAGAGATTTAGGGTTTATTGCTCATTTTCCCAGTGACTCAGGTAATAATTCTATGCAGTTTCTGCAAAGCATTGTTCAGCTAAGCCTTCAATGCAAGTTGTCAGCTGGTTCAGTAAAGGACAAGGAAAGACACTGGAAGTGGAATTTATAGCTGTTCTGTGACTGTACTATGAAGTAATTCTAAGCACCATTAGAAAAAAAAAAAAGTTTTAAAGGACCTCTCTCAACCCCTATTATCTGGGGAAAAAATACAATGTATAACTTCTTAAAAGCTCACCTCCACAAAGATAAGAAAGCCCTCCTGATGCTATCACATGCACACTAACAAAGCAAGAGAAAATTCAATGTTAAAAGTTCTTCTTTTCCCAGCAACAACTCGCTTTCCCCTCTTTCTTCTCATTTCAGCTCAAGCCAAGTTGGAGGAAGTACCCCCAAGTAAAACTGCTACCATTACAAGCACTGGAACTGCAAGGAGCTAGAGTTACTTTCCTTTCAAAGCAGAAAGGATAGCCACAAAAATCTAAAGGCACACACACAGAATCCTCACAGGGGACAGACCAAGCTCTGCTTTTATCACCAGAGTGCCTGAAATGAGCAAATGGCTTCAACCATACAATACTGGCAAATGTCTTCAGCTACAAGCAGCCACATTTGAAGACTTAAAAAGCAATAGAAAAGGAGGCAGCAGCTTGAGCAAGAGGGTAAAGAGAGCTGAGGGAACAGCAGGAGGGATTCAGCACCTTGCAGAACTGATCCTTCTGACATGACTGGCTACTGCCTATTAAATCCTGTGTCCAGCTGGGGATATTGCCCCACCTTCACTCTGTTAAGATAAAACAGTATGTTGAGAGTTTGCAGAAAAGTTCTTTGACAGACACAAATTATGTGAACTTTTCATTTTGCAACTGCTGGCAGTAAGGCTGTGCTCCAAGTTATCTGCAAAAAGAAAACTCTCAAGTCCGAGAAGCTGCCTTAAAGTCCTCTTTTAGCAGCACACTTGGCCAGCAGAAGGTCTACAGAGCAACGGCCAAAAACACATACACAAAAGCAACAACAAAACATCACATCATCAGACAGAAGTAGCTGCAAAACTCTAAGACAACATATATTTTAATGGTGACACAGCTACCAGTTCTGAGTTTCTTATGTCAGTTTAAAATCTCATTGAAGTTTATTGGTTACTTATTGAAAAAGAAAAAAAAAAGAAAACACAACCTCTACTTCCTATTACAGTCAGTAGGTCGAAATGATCCCTGTTTGATGACATCATCAATGACGTTTTAGAGATTTGATCCTTAGCAAGAAACAAAGATGACTGATCATTATCAAGCACAAAGCTTGTACTTAACCTCACTACACATCATTGCCTGTACCAAGACTGACAGCTATAAAGGGAATCAGGACTGCTCCCCCAATTTCGCAGTACCATTTCTGTCTGCTTCAACTGTGATGTTGCTTTCTATCAGGAAGTTCACAAGGAAGGTTTTGCAGCAGAAAACTAGGGAAAGAAGAAGCCCTACAAGTTTTAGATGTTGGAAATCGATAACAACTGGAGGAAGAGAGAGAAAAGAGATGCCACTTGTAAGTAACGTTCTGGCATTTGCTTTACCTATTGATTAGCAAGGGCAACAAATGCAGATGAGGAGGATAGAAGAGCTGATGACAGAAAATCAATGGCTTCTTTACAGGAGACACTCAATAGAGTGAAGGAAATTTGCCATTCTGCAGAAATCACTTCAGGTGGATGTGGACTGTTACTGTCTCCCATTTCCCAAAGAAGGAGAATGCTGCTGCCCATGTCTTTCACTTCCCACCTACCTCTCATTAGCTTGCACAGCTCTGAGCTCTGTGGAGTAAGAAGAGAGAAAAAGCCCAGCACTACTCATGAGCCTGCTGCCAACACACTGATTGGCCTTGGGCCATCATTTCTGTAAAATAACTCAGAAGATACCTCTTCCCACCACCTAAGTGCTGTGCTGCTAATGCTTACGTGGTGTTTTGAATATACCAAAGAGTAGAACAAGCAGCTGTTACTATAAATTCACAACTGACCACACTTTATTAAGCTGGAACTGAGGGAAACCTCAAACTCACTGCGATCTATTTGATAATTCCTTCATTTATTTTTCTGTATACATAAACACATGCAGGGGGCTAAGACACTTTAGTTAGATCCAGTAGATCTATTTTATGTCATTATATCACCATAATTTCATCTTCATACTGACACTGCTTGATTGAGTCTGTAACCTGGATCCATGACGGCTGTGCCCTGCCAGCCAGAGCACTCACCAGGTTGACGAAGTCCTGGTAGCAGATCCGCCCCTCTGAGTTGCTGTCTGCCAGGGCCAAGAGGACCTCCAGCTTGTGGGGGTCCAGCTCTGAGCCGTGTCTCTGGAGAAGGGAACGAAACTTCTCCGTGCTGATATAGCCGGTGTTGTCAGGATCAAACTGGAATAGGAAGGGAAAGCGTCAGGATTAACCATTCCATGTTATATAAAACTCTGACCTCCTATGTATTCGTTATGTGCTGCAAACCTACAGGCATCCTGAGGGCTGCTGGATGCTCCAGTGATCTTCGGCTTCTTTGTACTGCCAAGGAAACTACAGAGCACCCTGTTGCAGAGATGAGCCAATCCATGTGTCATTATCCCACTTCCACACAAGCTTCAGGTAAGTTGTCTCTCCTCACCCTCCCTCCCTCCCTCCCTATCAATTCTCTTGGCAATTTTTTATACCCTACCCTATCTGGACTATCAAGCAGATGGGAGATGAAGCCTGTGAGACAAAGCATACTGGAATGAGTTTTACACCTATCTTTCCTAACACAATTTCAACACAGGAACATCATCCCTGCTCATGTACTTTCTGTTCAGTCTTCATGATAACTTTCCAGATCATCTCTAACTTCAACATTTAAGTGCTTTCAATGCTGAAGAGCTCTTTAGAGATGAATTGGAACAAGACTTTGGACAGAAGCAAAGCATTAAGCCAAACTATAAATAGCAAGGCAGCCACATGCCTATTTCAGAATATAAATGAAACTCATTAGAAAGAAAGTCCCAGGTGAGATTTAGAGGGAATCCCACTCTGACCAAAAAAGTCACTGTTTTCTGTCAGTCCAAATGGTTCATCTCCTGAAAGTGACACTGAACAAAAGGAGACAGCTTTGCAAAGTTGTCTGAACTTAGAACTGCTTCCAGCCCCTAACTGGCATGGAGCTCCCCAGGGCACTCAGCCAAGGGCTGCCAGCGCTCCGCCAGGCACACTGCCCCAGCAAAGCCTGCCCTGGCACCACGCTGAGCATGTTTGTTTCTTCTGTCTTTGAAACTGAGCGCATGCAAGCGGCCAGACGATCCAGCACTGGCCGTGGTGCAGTCTGAGCTCTGCCAGCTCTTCGTTGCTGGGAGATTTGCCTTTGATTTCCCAAACTTGGCTCTGAGCAGCCTGGTGCTTACTGGCCTCCTTTTGTAGATAATGATATCGAGCTTGTTGGCTAGACTGAATGGCTGTCAGGGGCAGGGTGGTCAGGAGAGAGTCTTTTCATGGTAACATTTGGGACATAAAGAGCCTTGGCAGAGCCCTAAAGTTCCTGACAATCCTCACTCTTTCCTATCAAAACAAAAGCTGAGCAGGCGCCAGGCCTTCAATCAGACACAGTGGAGTAAAGGCTGCCTTGGCAAGGGAGCGGGTGAGCAGAGCGATGTGGCAGAGGATGCAGCCTGCCAGCAGCAGGGCTGGCACCGCTCTGCCATCAGCAGAACAGCTAAAGTAATATCCTCGAGCACAGGCAGCTTGTTTAGAGGCTGCAGCACCACGTGTGAGGACTTGAAGGACTTGGCGCCGGTTCCTTCTGGCTTAAGCCAAGTACTTTTCTCCCACCGGTGACTGCTACCACTGGCTGCTTTGTAGAGAAGGAGCTGCCTAAATGGAGCCGGGAAGATCACAGTCCCTTGCTGGAACAAGATATTTTGTCAGAAGCTGCTGGGGGAATTGGATTACACAAAACAAGACAAACCAAATGACCAGCAGGCAGTCAGATCTGGGTACTCGCTATCTGCAAAGGGTTGTTCTGTCCTTGTGAGGTGGCCTGGATGTATGCTTCCTGACAGTTGGCACCCAGAGCCAAAGGTGGATTTCATCAGCTGTTTACTGTTAAACAAGGGCTTAGTATTAATCCCTGGACAAGTTTGGCTCCACTACTTCAGTCACCCCAATTTAATGCTTTGAATTAAACTGAATCTTAAAACCAATTCAAATGTTAGGGCTTCTCCACAAGGCTCAGCTCTGATACTTTCTGGCTCTTGCTGGGAAGTTGCAGGCAGCTGACTTTTGCGATTCCTAATCCCAGAAGCAAATAAAGGAAATAAGTATTATTAGCATAATACCTGAGATGACCTTTCTCAAGGGAATCAGCAGAAGCAGAGAGATGGCTCATTCAGTGAATGGAACTAACACCTGCTATCCCACAGGCTGTACTGTTTTCATCCTCGTTTCCTAAAAACGTTTGGCCCAACCACAGCTCTACTTAAGTATATCTGGGCATTTAGAATGTATCTTGTCTAGGATAAAACCTTTTGCTCTTTGAAGGCTTAAATGCCTCCCAGCTTGAGGGCCAGGGTCAGTAAGAGAAGAGTGGGAATCTCCCCCATGCTGTGCGCTCACTTTTTGACTTTGTAGAAAGACCAATGGCCACAGCAGTGGGAAACATCGATATTCCTTCAAAGGTCAAAAGAGATACAAGTGCTGAAGCATGCAGGCTCCCAAAGCACACAGAGCTACTCAGATCACAAAACACTTTCCCCAGACTTTGTTCTGCTTTAAAGCCTGCTGAAAAGAGACACTTAGTGACCAGGAACAGAGATTACATAAGCAGTTCCGAACTTCGAACCAGCCCACAAGGACACAAGGTTCTGCTGCTTCTCTCACCAACACGGCGTCAGACATCAACACGCTGTCGCTGCCTTAGGCAGCATGTTTCCCTCTTTCACATTACTATGTGTAATTTTCATTTTGGCTAAGCTAATGATAACAGTTAGAAGTAAGTTGGAAATAAAACTTCGGATTTGGGCAGCATGAAAGAGAACAGTAAATAAGTGGCATCTGAACTGAAAATGTCTGCCTCAGAACAGGACTAGAATGCAGCTTCCATTGACAACCTGGAACAGAATGTTTTACTGTAAACCCCATCTGTAAGGGAATTCTCTTATTTTTAAGTATTTTTTCTATCAAATCAAATAAAGACACTTTAAACTCATCTGTCTCCACAACACTCAAAATCCATCCCAACACAGCAAACCACCTCAAACCTGCTTCTGATATTGCAGCTAAACACAGAAATCGAGGAGTTGAGCCAGTCCTGCAGAACAAGCCTCTCCATGCACAGCAAAAGCAAGCTGTGACAGCACACTCACAACAATTGGGTCCATCAATTAAAAAAAAAGAGGCAACTGACCTTTGCTAGGCGCTTCATGTATTTATCCATGATGATCCACTTCTCCCACAAGCTCAGTCAAGCACCTTTGTCTCAGAGAGGCTGCACTGAGCCCCAGCCCCACAGGGCTGAGCCTCCCAGCACCAAGGCAGCCCAGTGGCTTCCTCAAGCTTGGTTACTTCTGCCTCTGCTAAACGTACACGTACTTGGACAGACAAGTGCAACCCAACCACTGCAGGGCTAAGGAAGGCCGACTGCCCCCCTCTACTCCCAAACAATGGGATACTAACGGCAATTTCATGCAAGGTTTCCTCCAGATTTCAATGACAATCACTCTTAACTCCCTTGATCCTCAACCAGGCTCTTAAGCAAAAATGTAAATATGTTAATGACTGTAGCAGCCATCTGACCCAAGATCTTAATTCCCTAGCCCAAACAACATGGTTTTTTTTGTTTGTTTTCCTATTTCTTATTTTAGAGCAAATAGTTCATAAAAGTAAGGACACCACTGCAAGACAAAAATAAGAGGAGGGGGCTCAAAACCTGAATAGAAGTAGGAAACCAGATTAGGAAAGAAAATAATCCCACATTGTTCCTCCTCTTTAATTAAAGACACATCAGCCACGGCTGAGTGAGCAAGTAGGGTGGAGGCTGATGCTGCAGACAGACAATTGGTGTCTTGGGAAAAGGCAGGCACTTCACACAGCACGGCCAGCTGCTTCTCTGCTCCGTGGCAAACAGCCCTCTGGGGCATCAGTGCAGCTGGAGAGTCAACAGCTGAACTGGGCATAATGTGAGGGTGCTTGGCTGGGTTTGGAGTTGCAGATCTGACCCAGGAGCAGAGAATTTCCTACCAACCGTGGTTTCTCACATTGAGGGGCTTTGTCTTGGCATGGAGAGAATATGTCACTCCAATCATAAGTTCTCTTCATAATGGGCAAGGCTCCAAGAAATTTATCTAATTTGGATGTTAGCTGGGGATTGAATTACTCCCTTCAAAATAGAATTGTTCCATGGTTCAGCAATGCCTTCACTTGTGGAAGAGACCAGCCTGGCTGTCAGGCCTCCTGGCACTGCCCCCAGCTCTGCTCTGCACTAAGAGGCAGGTTCCGAAAAGAAATTGCCCCGAGTTTTAGCCGCTCCTCTTGAGACACAGAAATGGCAACTGCTGCTTTATCTTCCACCACAAAGGAGCTGTCAATAGAAGGCCTGCTTCTTGCTCACATGTAGGCTTCTTCCCATGACTGGCACTAGAAAGGAGAGCCAACTGTGTTAAGTTTTTTCATCTCTGATGGGTTCAGAAAGAACTCAGAGTTTGCTGGCTTTGAACTTCAGACCATTATACAGCACAGTCTCTGCAATCTACAGATGCTAACGTGCACTGGGAACTCAGACCACATCCAGCCTCAAGGGCCATGCTGTAGTAAAAGCAACAGACCCCGAGTCAACACGTGAATTTGACAGACTCCACGTCCAGGCTGTGAAAAGATATGCAGGATTGGCATTGAAGATCTCCTGAAGATAAATTAGATATCTTACCAGAGCAGCTCACTCGCTATCTTTCCACAGTCTCTGGAGTCATGCTGGGAGCTCACTTTTTTTTTTTTTAAAAAAAAACATGCAAGGATATGTAGCATTTCATGCTTCGATGAAAATTAAAGGAATGACAAGGCAGAAGGTGGAACTGCCTCATAATATCCAGGGGAGGGCAGGAGAAAGGTCTGCTTTAACAGTTTCATCACTATCTGGTGGCAATGACTTTCCCAACAACTTAATGATCCTGCTGTCTCTTCTAACAGGATGAAGTGCACATGTGAGGAGGAACCCTAATCCAGAAGAGATGAAGGCTAATGTATACGCTTTCACCTCAAAATTAATCTTTTCACCAAGTCACCAAATCCGAGTCTCATGAACATGTGTGGCAAAATGTTAGTGCTGGCTTCAGTGATGTACACTCTCTTCCTTTGTTAATAATGAATTCAACCACCACTGCTCAGTCAATATGAAGTGCTTACGG